TAGCATCAGAAGTCTCATGTACAACTCAGATTTCAAAGTCGATATTTCTCATTTCATTTTCCTGCTACAAACATGCAACAAGGGTCTTTTTTATATAGAAAAAAATTCATGTGTTATTATGTATTTAATTGTTTTAAGTGGATATATTTAAATTTTTGGAAAAGTTATGGACCTTCAGTTAAAACTTTTCTTTATTTCTTCTTGTTTTACTACTTTATTTTAGTTTTGTTTGCCCAAAGAGAAGGACAAACCCATCATTTAATGGCCAAAATGAAGTGAATGACGACTTTTACTCATAATCGAAGGATTGTAATGAACTATGTTAAAAAAAGTTGAGAGTAGATTTGTAATATCTCACGAAGGTTGAGGGCAAAAAGTAAAAAATTTCCTTTTCCCTGACGTAGTCCCCCGACTTTAATTTTTTATCGCGTTTAACCCAAAAGGTAGATTCCATTTTAAAATAATATCTATGCTCCGTTGCTCTGATTATAAATTAAAATATTATAGAAAAAAATTACTTATATTAATTTCCAAATAATCAATCTTTCTACAAAACTTTCCATTTAAATTTTACGAAACACAACGGGAGAATGAATCCTAATTAGAATCCACAAAGATTCCTTCCACGTCAAGCAATAAGAACTTACCATTAGCTGAAAGCTTATCTTATAAGCGGAATCAAACAAGGATTCTCCCTTTATTAATTACTAATATTATTCATAGTCCTAGTCGAACCGTGAAATTCAATCCTTTATTGCTTTACAAGTATAAATACAACCGCCCATCAATTTTGCGGCCTTTTTCTCATGATTCATACTTGGTTTTCTGCTCCGTTGAGTTTGGTAACTTTGTTTTCTGCTCCGTTGATTTTGGTAAAGTAAAAGAGCTTCGTTTTGAGAAAACACTCCGGGGTTCTTGCGGGTTTTGCGTAATATGGTAATTATCGATTTTTATTTTTTGTTTCTTTTTTCGTTTCTTGTATTTATGTCTCTATTTTCTGTTGTTAATGAAGGTGGTTTTGGTTATTATAGTTAATGTGGGTTTTGTATAATTAAATAGAAAACATTGAGTTAGTTGTGCTTTAATTTTCTTGGTTTGTACTGTAAATATTGAGCATCTGGTAGATTAAGTTTTAGGATTCATGTTTTTATGGGTTTCTCTAATAAGTAGTAAAATCAAGATTAGGGGAATTAAAATTTAGGTTCAAGAATGTATAAAAGATTTACGAAAGAAATTATAAATCCCTCATTTTGTACGTGAAGCATGTTGTAAGCAGTTTAATTTGTAATAACCCTATTTATATATTCTGATAGTATATTCTTCTATAGTGTTATTAAATCACGTGATTTTTATTTTTGGTAGTGTAGATGTCGAGTATGGATTCTGATACTGCGGATCAAGACGACAGGGAAAAGTTTGTGGAGGTCGATCCAACTGGTCGATATGGCCGGTATGATGAGCTTCTTGGTGCCGGGGCGGTGAAAAGGGTGTACAGAGCATTTGATCAAGAAGAAGGCATTGAGGTGGCTTGGAACCAAGTCAAATTACGACAATTTTCCAATGATGAAGCAATGATCAACCGATTATACTCCGAGGTTCAGTTGTTGAGGAAATTTAAGGACAAAAATATTATCTCGTTGTACTCTGTGTGGAGAGATCCAGCGAAAAACACGTTGAATTTCATTACTGAGGTTTGTACTTCGGGGGATTTGAGGGAGTACAGGAAGAAGCACAAACACGTATCGATCAAGGCATTGAAGAAGTGGTCTAAGCAAATTCTCAAGGGCTTGGACTATTTGCATAATCACAAGCCCTGTGTCATTCACAGAGATCTCAATTGTAGCAATGTCTTCATTAACGGTAACACTGGCCAGGTATGCTAAATAATCCAGATTTCTGTCTTAGTGTTTTCATAATGATCTCTTTCATTGACGAGGAAAATCGGGAAAATAATGGAACTGTGCTATTTTTCTTTTCGTTTCTTGATATTTAACCCAATATGAATTACCATGATGTATAGTGTCATTTACTAAAGGACAACACCTTGTTAGTTTGCATACTATTCATGAGAAGCAAACCCATTTTACAGAATCAGACAACTTTGCTTTTGAGATATAAATCAGTTCAGTTTTTATTTTTTTATGAAATTGTAATAAATATATCATGATTGAAATTAATAGGTGAAAATTGGCGACCTCGGTTTGGCAACAGTGGTTGGGAAGAGCCACGCAGCACATTCACTACTCGGGACACCTGAATTCATGGCACCAGAGCTATACGACGAGAATTATACAGAGCTGGTCGATATATATTCATTTGGGATGTGTTTGCTTGAGATGGTGACTCGAGAATTACCCTACAGCGAGTGTGATACTGTTGCCAAGATATACAAAAAGGTTACATCCGGGGTGAGGCCTCGGGCCATGAATAAAGTCAAAGACTCCGAAGTGAAGGCATTCATCGAGAAGTGTCTTGCACAGCCTAGAGATAGACCTTCGGCATCCGATCTTCTCAAGGATCCCTTCTTCGCTGACATTCATGATGATGACGATAATTAATGCTAATGATAGTAGTAGATGCTGACCTTCGATTGCTCTATACACAATATTTTGTTCTGTGAGTTACTGAACATTGTTATTTCTTGATTGCAAAACTTCGAAATTAGGACAGGTATTGTTTGGTAATGGCAATTGTTCTTGTAAATAGAGTCCAAGTCCAAGTTCGTCCAGAGCTTGTTTAGTTGAAGATGAAGTTTTCATTGTTGATAATCGATCATTTGATTCTATTGTCTTGACAAGTATATAAAACGTGTTGAATAGAAATTTATGTTCTTACATATCATATTGTATATATTTCTTCATCAAAATGCATTATGCGTACTAGGACATACATAGGTAACTTTGTCGGAGTTGATATTACATGAAAAACTTGTCAAATAAACTCAATAAAACTCGATGTCCCTCAATGTGGGCGGTTCTCTCATTATACCAAATCACAATTAAATATGTAACTACTAATTACAATATTTATTAATGATAACTTATTAAATATGATAGAATTCTTATATTTGAGTTTTCCTTTGTTAGAATTTGGGTGTAACTCAAATTCTTCGTTGAAGATAATTGAGAGTTCTAATTAAATTGCACATTAAGAGAAATTCTATTAGAAATGCTTTTGAAATCCTATTCAAAGTATATTCGACAAATTCTAGTTGAAATTCTATTTGGAAATCTATTGAGAATTGGAATTTGTATTGGACTTAAAGAAATCAGGATACGGAAACTTTGTGGCATTCTATTTCATCTACAACTATTTCTAGGGTTTGGATTGTTCCCCATATATATTTGGCTCTTCTTTATAATTTAGTTAGGTTGTTTAACTTCATTATAAGTTAGAAATATTGTATACACATAATCTTTGTTCTCTTTCTCTATATTATAATAAAGTCTCAATCTTTTACAAATTATTTTTTGTTGTATTCTTGTGATCTTTATTTCATATAATTGTCTTAATCTATTATCTTTTTATAACAAATTGGTATCGGAATTGTTCCGCATTCAACAAAGTGATTTCAGATCTGATCCGATTTGTAACATCATTATATTCTACTGACATCCCCCTCATATTGATGCTGATAAAAACATCAATTGACAACCCTGAACTGATAGTGCTATCGAGTCATTGTTTTCGTAGAACCCAGAAACCAAGAACTCAACCTTGCTAAACTTCAAATCCAAGGACCTATTTAAAATTCGATATGATTCTCTGCAAAGAATCAAAGTCCTACAAAAAATTATCGATGCTAACAAATCATCCTTAAAACACAAAATGCTCACACCATACTTGATGCACGGAAGAGTCATACGTTGAAAATAATTATGTCAACTGTTGACCACCATTCCAAGAGCACTTCAAAAATACTCTAGAGAGCTCACACTCCAAGAAGACTTTTTAACAAAAGTTCT